ATAAAAACCTGTGTAATGCTCATAACAAAGCAGATTTCTACAGTCAAAAAATACATTCCAGAGCATTTCTGTGGAGAGCTGAAATTACCTGAATATCACCATTACTATCAACGTAAATCACTCCAATATACTCTTAAGCAATGCAACATTTCTTACACGTACACCCAGCAATAACAAAGCCTATCACACACTGATTACAGCAGAATCTATGAAAAGGCTCTCCTTGCTATTAAAGATTAAAATAGTCCTGTGAAAGACTTGTAAACAATTCCCATATTTTATTGTTCCTATGAGTGCATGTTTTTCTGTGAATTTGGGCTGGATATGTTGGTTTCCAGGGGCAGTATGTGAAAATGCTGGGTCTACTTTTAAATGCTGGGTCTGCTTTGTTATTTCAGGCAAACACCTGCACTGCCAAAGAAGGGCCTCAGTGTCACATGTATGGCACGTACCAATTGTCAGGGTAAAAGGGAATGACTGTGACAAATGAGAAGCTTTTTCAGCTAATTCATTTTGTGTGTAGTCATCTCAGAGCCATGAGGCTCCAGCTGGGACTGGTGCCTGATTACACCAGAAGTTGTACCAAGTCAGCCTCCTTCACTGAGCACCTTGGGGGCTTAAGCAGACAATCACACAAACAGTGAAAGAAAAGAACTACAGTTGTTCCTCTTCTGCAAATGAGGAACTAAGTGACAGAGCTAAAAAAAGGGCTCAGCCCTCAGCCAGTATAAATTGGCACAAGAGGATTCAGGTCATCAAAAATACACCAAGTTACAGCAGCTAAAGAAAACACTGGAGTTGGATTTATAATGCTTGAGATAAATATAATGCACCCGAGCAAGACTTAACCATCTGCAATCAGTATAAAAGATGAAATGCACTTAAAAATACTGTGCTTCACATGTCTTGTTTAATAAAATCCACAGCATAAAAAGATGGTGCCAGTTATCAAACTAGACAAGCACAGAATGGTAACACTGCAAGAAAAACCAGACAGCTCGTTAAAATAGTAAGGTATATAATGTGCAATAAGGGACAAAATACACCCACCTTTTCTCAGCGGAAAATTATTTTGCTTATAATTCTCTTAGTCCCAAAGTAATGGAAAGACTTGAAGAAATGAACTGCAATTTATAGTATGGCCTGGCAAGGGAGCAAAAAAATGTTTCAAGGATTTTTAGAGGAAATTTATATATCCTGCTGGATCTTGAAAATATTTCAACAGAAACTTCTCGATTTTAATTACACATATCAATGATTTTTGACCCTCATCACACTTTTACATAAACACTACCTACACTTTCATTGAACTCTGAAGTGTTTTCCTTTAAAATAAAACCATTTGATTGCCAAAACATTATTTCATTTTCTGATCTGTAAATATAATACATTTCTATTCTCTTTGCCTTATCCTCAGTAAAGAACAAAGTGAAGGAGGTGTGGAGGCTTCATGCCCTATTTAGTCAGAGCCTTACTTCCCTGCCAGGAGACGGGCAGGGACATTTCCCTCTGTAGGACACTCCATTTCTATGTGCTGGTTCCTGAGCTGGCCATTTCTGGAACCACACTAACTTGTCTCTCTTAGTACACAATAACTCATTCCCTTTTTACCAGTCACAGAGAGATGAGACAGGAAAATTAAGAGAAAACAGATGCCTGATGGATGAAAGTGGAGCTCAGGAGAGCTACTGTTCTGTGTTCAAAATTGAACTGAAAGAGACTTGATATCATTCAAAGCAGTGACTCTCACGGAAAAAAACCCAGCACTTTGGGACCAAGGAATTCAATGCAGCTATAAATCCATAAGCAGCAGCTGTAGAGGCAGATTCAAGAAAAGAAATCTAGCATAGGAAAGAAAGATTCACATCTGACCCACTACAAAGAAATGCCATGCAATAATGGCATGAGAAACATACCTTTTTTTGGTTAAATGGTATTTAGGAATATACTCAGGTATGTCACTTGAATTTCATAACAAGTACAAATAAAGTGAAGATGTAGGTCAAGACTGTTCCTTTCTATTCCTTTAATTAATTTTTATTTTCAGGATTATTTTCAAATGTTTTACATCAGTACTGATAAGGAACACTTCCACAATCCATAGATGAGGATGCAGAAAGGACAAAAGAAGAGGGGAAAGTCTTTACTGTGTGAGACACTGCAGGAAGGAAAATCCATTACTTGCTACAGAAAGGTTTCTCCCAAAGTCACCCCACTTGAACTTGTCCCTTCTCCTACAGAGATCTGCAGGCCACAGGAGATACACTACAACAGAGCCAGACCTCACAGCAGGATTCTTGGGCAAACATTGCACAATTAGCTGAGTACAAGTGTGTCTTCAAAATGGTTATACATTTCTGTAATGCTGTTTGACAGGCGTGTCTAAAATCTGCTAGGAAGAGCAATATACTCTGAGCGGAATGAAACACTCCACAGAATTCTGACAAAAGTAGTCCAGGGTGTATGGCTCCTCTCTGTAAAACCTGCCTCAGAAATGGAGGTGGATCTGTCATTAGTTTTATTAAAGGCAAAGATCCATCTACCCTGACTCATCTGAAAAACTTGCCACTGGTCACCTGCCCTTATTTCTGAGTTCACATCTGAGACATGACCTTATCAATCTTGTCAGTATCTGAAGGGAAGGCGTCAAAAGGATGGAGCTGGGCTTTTTTTGGTGGTTCCAAGCAATAGGACAAGAGGCAATGGGCAGAAATTGATGCACAGGGAGCCCAGGGAATTCCACCTGAAAATGAGGAAGAACTTTACCATGCAGGAGACCATGCTCAAGAATAGATTGTTCAGAGAGGTTGTGGAGTCTCCCTCAGGGGAGATATTCAAGAACTGTCTGGACACAACCCTGTGCAATGTACTCCAGGATGAGTCTCTTGAGCAGGGAGGTTGGACCAGATGACCCACTCTGGTCCCTTCCAACCTGCCATTCTGTTATTCCACGCGATTTAATATTTTGCTCTCTCAACATGAGATTATTGGAGTAGCAATACTAAAACTACATTTTAAATAAAACTTGCCAACATATTTTCACAGTCCAAATAAATAACTTCATGTAAATAAATAACTTCATCATACAAATATCACTTAGAAATGCAATTAAAAAGAGCCTCCTGCTTTGTGTTATAAAAATATGAAAGAGTACTCAGGACAAGCTGTTTCACATAAGATTTTTCTCTATATTCAGCAACTCCAAGATCAAAATACTGGGATTTCATTTATCAAAGCCAAAAGAATGGTTTAATACAAATTTTATATGAAGACAGCTCTGTTTTTCTAGCCTGCATGCAATATCAAATTCAGTACAGCTTGATACATTTTCATTCATACTTTCATTACAGCTCCGTAAAGTACAATAATTTATTATACATTCTCTTGAATCTTTTTGAAACATCAAACAAAATGTAAAATTCAAGGGTAGAGAAAACAAAGCACCAGAAATTTTACAAGAAAAGCAGTATTATGAGAAAAACAGCATTTCCTTTCTTATCCTTCCAGTTCTGACCACAAACCACAGTGAGCACTGGACATTGGAAAACAACACTGAACTACAGGACTCTATGCACCTTTCAAGCCCTAGTACAGCACTGATAAAATCTGAGTGCCACCAGTGTTACCTCTATGATAATTACTCTATGGTATAAGTAATAGATAGTTTTTTAAGAGAACTGAATGTCTCAGAAACACTCTCTGCTGGCAGAATTAATAATATATTGGAGAGGATGGACCAACTGGTTCTTTTTATATTCTTTGCTGACCTCCAGTTCAACAGACTAACATGCCTAGGACTAAGAGCAAAGCCATGGGCCTTCCATGCTCCTCTTCCTTGCCTCAGCCCTAATGACATAATTTTTCTCAGAGCTTTGGGTTAATTATTCACACAAATCTCAAACCACATATAGATGCAAAGAGGAGAGCACAGCATCACATGAAGAAGGTTTTTCTGTGACCCAGACTCCTTTCTTTATAGGTAGATTGAAAGGAGCAGACATCAGGCAGATTACAATGAACCATCTCCCCAGTTAAGCTTTCAGGCAGAAGTCATTACACTACAAGGATCTGTCATCAAGTAAAAAAAAAATTCATGTGAAAGTGGAAAGCTGAATCTTAATAGCAAATATTAATTTTCATCTATTAAAGTATCTTAGTGTATAATATTGTAAATGCTTGAAATCTGGAAGTATTTCTTTCTTTTCTGAATTTATTTCATCTTCCTAAGAGAAGATTTGAATTTACAAAACAACCAGCTTCTGTTTCTTTTCCTGATGTAATTTTTGCAGAAAACACTTTCTAATTTGGAAAGTCATACAGTTCTTACCTAGCACTCTAAGAAGAGAAATCACCAATATTTTTGCAATAAAAGGCTAGAGGCCTTTTTTGCAGAGTTACTGAGAATGATGTTATAAAATGCCCTCCCTAATAGTGATTGTAAACGAAACATTTATTTACATTTTCGTAGCTAAATACTGTTGTGGTGCATCAGTTTAGTTGCTCTCTTGCATTGGGAATTTGCACAGAATAGTTTTGTATTGTACTGTATAGCTTATGTTATACCATGTGGTTTGTTACCCCGTTTCCCCATCACATGTTCTTTCCCTCACCTGTCCCGGTACCCCCGGTGGTCTCTCCCCTGGGTTACCCCTCCCCTTGCCACTCCTCACTGGTGTCCCACTGGCTGTGGACCTCTCCCTCAGTCCCCATCCCAGGGGGTATAAAAGCTCCGTGCTGCCAGGGAATGCTCTCTCTTTCTCCCATGGGTTTGTCTGTCTGATGTGTGTCTTGGAATAAAGGACAACGTTTCCAACGTGGAGGAGAGCTCTTCTCTAATCTTTTACCTTTGTCTATGAAGTATCGTGTGGGCAAGGGTCTGTAGCTAGCTGGAGTGGACCCCAACAGCCCAGGAAACATGTTTCTTCAAAACACCATTTGCTTTAGAGGAAATAGAGTGACTAGGCAGCCTCAACAGCCGGAGTGAAACATTAGGAGTGTACCTGCATGACAATAAGAAGGTCAAACACCAAGATGAAAGAAGCCAAGAAGGCTCTTGAGACCTCATCACTTGGCAGAAATCCACGATTCAGCTTGTCCCAGCTGATCCAGTCAGTAGTGATGACAAGCACAACTACAGAGGTCAGAGTAAACAGAACCGTCCTGGAAGGAAGAAGAAAAAATATTTCAGGGAGAATACAATAGTAATGAAGATGCATCATTCTGTTTTATCTGTCTTCTAATGGTCAACTAGCATTTTATCAGCACTTTCCCATTGATGAAAACCGACTAAAGAAAATTAAGTGCACAAACAAATCTTTTAATTTAAGAAAGAAAGCAGTCAGCTGTATCCTTAGTGAAAATAAATTTAGTAGCTAGTACTAAGCATGTTGCAAAATTAGCTGGAGTATATCACTCTGGTTTTTCATTCTGTACTTTTCACTGAAGACGAAAACCAGGTAAGTAAATAAGAGAAGTAAAACATACCAAGGCCTGCATGATCTATGCCAAATTCAAATTAACTAATTGAGAAAACATTGTGTAAGGCACCAAAGACATTAGAAACTGAAAATCTTTTCTGAGCTGTAGGAGCTGTAAGACACTAACTGTGAAGTCTAATTTTTATATATGTCTCCATTAAAAAAAAAATTCAATGCAATAAATTAATTTGTTTTCAAATTCTGGAGATTATAGAAAGATTTTGCTTTATGTTTTCTAAGATGTCCTTCATAAAAGTTTTTAACAATGTTATGACTTTTCTGAGAAGTCAAAAGTGAAAAGTGAATCACAAAAGTATTAAGGCCCCTGTATAAATGCTACAAGAATTCCAGAAGACACATTTGACTAATTCACACAATTTTGAAACACAGTATTTAGAAAATATCTTTCTAAGCTATCCCTGAAAAATACCTCTGCATCATTTCCAGCATCACTTTGGTAATACCTTAAAGAGTTGGCAGCAGTGACTGATTTAACTTCTGGTTCCATGGAAGCTGGAAAATTTAGTTGGTAATTTAAGGATGAGCAAGGCTTTTTCCAGTAGCCATAGCTGTCAGCAAATCTGTGCTATAATAGTGGCATATCAAAACCTGAATGCATACTCATGACTAAATAATTGTGGCAGGATTTTTTTTCTACAGCAATAATGTCTCATTTTCTTCAGCCACTGAAGGTTGTAAAATAAAGTGAAGAATATTTCCCATGACATTTCCAAACAGGACCAATACTCAGCAGAGGGAAAAAATATCTGTACACCAGTAGTCACAGGCTACCAGTCTGTATGCATTTCTTTTTATACAGCAGCCTTGTCTATCTGTGAGGAAGGAAAACCAAATATGTACATAGGCAATAGTATAATACATTTGGACTCATCAACATCATTCTTCTGTGACATGATGGGCTGCACTTCTTCAATGTAATGAGACAAAATTACTTGATTGCCACCACCTTTACATTGGAATGACTATTTTTGTTCTTAATAAATTAACTCAGTTACATGCAACACTACGGTTGATGCCCCAACAATTTCCCTCAAAAGAATTATGAGCACCTAGGCAAGAAAAAAACAATAAATGAGGTATATGAAATGTAATTAGACCTAAGCAATAGTCAAGCCTTCTTATCCCAAAATATTTGCTTAGCTACCATCTCAACTGTCAGTACCTGAACCTGACTTTTCTACAAGCTCCACTTTGGTACATACACAGAACAGTTTACTTCAGAAAGACAGTTCTCTCTCTCTTGCATATAGTCTCTTGAGACACACAAAAGTGTTTTTCCCTACTTATTTCACCTTCACATAATATTTGAAATTCTCATGGTTAATGTTCTTACTTTACCTGAAAGGTTCTCCAGAAAGAAAGCAATCCTCAGCACTTGTCTGCTGGCCAAGGCAGACTCCCCCAGCCACTAGGCACCCTGATTTTCCTTGACCTTTTTCTGTGGAACCACCTCTCCTGGGGCAGAGGAAGTTTAAAACCATAATTCAAATCTGAGTATTTTGCTATAGGAAGTATATACCCAGAAGTTATGCTCAAGACTATTCTGCCTCAGTCCTCTTGAATTATGCATTTGCATTTTGGAGCAAGAGTTCAAAGCATGGAAGATCAGACTTTGGCATGTAGGCAAGCAAAGGCAGGCTTATTTTTATTCATGCTTTGTTGGCATGCATGCAAAGACCCGACGTGTGTACTCAAGTCCTGATTTCCTTGAGGAAATGCATATGCACTTAGAAAACGGCTTTGTTATTCATTCTGAAATGTCAAATAGAGAGGGAAGGGAGCAGAAAATGGGCTGCTAATGGAATAAGAAAATGCTAGACCAACAAATAAGGTTAGAAATAGACTTTCAAAATGGTTGCATTAAACAGCATAATTAGTACTCAGTTGTATTTTTGACCTATGATACTGGAGCACAGCAAGATATTCAATACGTGCTTTTGGAGTTATTATAAACTGAGGTTTCTTGGGTTAGAGTTCAGTTCGCTCCTTGTGAAAGTACAATGTCCTGGAGATTAAGAAAAAAAAAATGAGAATTTCACTTAACTTGACATAACTTGTATTGGATAAACCAGTGTGAGCTGCCCTGCTATATCTAGCCCAGTGTAGTTTGCCCTTTAATCTGCAATGCACATTATTGAGAAAGAGCTACACCGTCAACCTATTCCCCACATTGCTGGCAGGACCTCTCCTCATTACAGAAGGGGAAAGGCTACAAGGTGAAGAGCAAGAGAGGACTGACTTTTCTCTGTACCAGGCACTAAGAAATGCAATTTCTGCCTCTAGTTCACGAAGGAAACGCACTTTTATATTTCACTTCTAATTCTAGCTTGCTGTATTGAATGATTATGTGCCCTGGACACCTATTCAGCTGCAATAACACACATTTTACAGCCTACTGCATACTCCTTAAGAGTGCAAATAAACACTGTCTAGACCAATAGCATACTGAATAGTTAAAATTATTAGGCAGGTCCACAAAAGTCAGTACTGTGCTTATCACTGCCAGTGATTATTTAAAATCCCCAGTGCTGCTGGGGAGGGATAAAAAAGGGGAGGCTGAAAGAGAAGAACTTTTACTGCCAGAAACCTCTCAAAAAATAGGCAATTTTTTAGACTGTATCTCTATAATAATCTTTGATTGCCAGGACTGAGTTTGGTCTTGAATTTGTCAAATCAAATCACTCATGCCAAACTGAATCCATACAGGCCCATTTGTTGACAGAATACTAATCTGGTTCTCAAAAACTTGGCAAGGCCCAAAACAGGTGCATCTTCCCTTCTGCCCCTTTCCACAACACTTTCTTGCACTATAAGCTTTGACCAAACTGACCAACTTTAAGTCTGTCCTCCAGTATATTATACATTATGAAAGGTTGTGAACCACATGGACCAGAAGCTGAGCAGTTTTAGTCACTGAAGGTGGTTCCCTCATGGCAGACAGGGTCACAACCTAAACCCTGTAGAGAGGAAACACAATGAGCCGAAGGTTGTGAACCACATGGACCAGAAGCTGAGCAGTTTTAGTCACTGAAGGTGGTTCCCTCATGGCAGACAGGGTCACCTAAACCTTGTAGAGAGGAAACACAATGAGCCACTGTGATCTTATGTCCTGGATGCTTGGAGACACTCTCTTCTGCTGTTAAATATGTCCTACCTCCCTCATGAGGAACTCCTAAGCAGAGCCCATGAGGCCACAACTGATTCTCTTGCAGCCCCAAGGCAGTACCACAAGACCATTCATAGCACATCCCCTCCAAACCTACGAGCATCTTTGACTCCATCCAGCCACTCCCTCAGGAATCAGTCTCTTATTTGTCTGTACTGAGTGAAAAACTGAACAATCCAGAATTTGTCCCTGGAAAGAGAAAAGACAAGCTAATAAAGGTATACATGTTCATAAAACATTTAATGTTGGAAACAAGAACTGTTTCCAATCTGAATCCCATGATTCTTCATGTCTAAATCATCAGGGGAAAGTATATAAAAAATGGATTCTGGTCTGTGATGGAACTTATTTTCTCATATTGTAACATAGAGAAAATGAAGTTTTTCATTCAAAAGTTAAATACAGTTCTCTGCATAACACTACCTTCCCTTTAGTTGTGACTTTGAGCTGCTCATTTTTGGAGGTATTTAGAAGTTTCTTCTCTTACATGACCCTCTGCTAAATCTTTTGTGATGCTACAGCTTTGATGATCAGATAAGACCAACTGAAGAGATGAAAGACAAACTTTAGTTATTTTCCTCATTTTCATTTTGTCTTTTTCTAGAGGCAAAAAACATTATCTTGCCCTTTGACTACACCTTTTCCCAAAAAAACCCCTACCTGTGATTAGTAAAAGTAGCTCTTGGATTTGTATGACTCAGCATTTTGAGAACTTTTCATCTTAATTTCACATCTAATTGTCACTAAGCTGGGTCATTTGTAAATCATGAAACATTGTTAACAAGGATTCCAAGTATTGCTTAATATGTTGTTCATTTGGAATGAACACATTTGACAGGACCAAGAAACTGGTCAGTCACGCTCCTTAGGGCTGCCCTGAGTGGGAGTGGGTGTCTGCTGTCCCACCCACATCACACTGCCAGTTCCTGGCATGTCTCTGCACCTCCCTGGGGTTTCCCCAACTCAGAAACCACCCACCATGAGTCACAATCCCTCACTCTGCTATGAAATGCACCTGCACTGGCTCTGATTGCCTTGGCAACTTCTCATGAATGTACCCAAATAGTTGCAAATATCCTGTGAAAACAGATACAGAAGAGGAACAACAAATTTTACTGCTCCTTATATTTAAAAAGGCTTTCCAGTCCTCAGGAAAGAAAGATAATCCATTGAGTCAAATACTCTACATAATTTTTAATCTCAGAATCAACACTGGCCAAATATACAGTCACACAGTGTACAATAACTATAAAGAACAATGCTACTGCAGATGTTCATATACAAATGCCAACACTTTTTATTTCACTTGTTTTAATTAAGAAGGGCTCTGTTATTTAATCCGTCAAAAATAGCAGCACTAAACCCATTCAAAATAAAATATTTAGTCTGCCTGTTGCTTGGTGTCAGAACCACTTCTGCAATTAAGCAAATATAAGGGACAGATGCTCTGGTGGTGGAAAGCATCTGTGTTCCCTGGAGCAGCATAGCTTCAATCC